TAAATTCATACTATAAGATGCTATGAAATTGATATTTTATAAAATGTGTGTGTGTGTAAGCTGTTTTTAGTTGTAAAATTCACCATTATTTTATAAACTCCTAGTAAATAAAAGCTACCAATTAAAATATGACCTACCAATCTTGAAGTTTAAGAGGCATCCTGATTTGACTGATCTTAGTATGTAAAAAAAATTATTCTAATAACTTGAAATATTGTCGGGTCTGCTGCCAGCCGACCCGTACAGCCCTAGCCTTGTTCCTTCTGGTGGGTGAGCTAACGGCCCAGATTACTCTTTCCCTCCTGTCCCCTTTGGAAGGAGACGGGGGAAGAGAGCCGTGAAGAGAGGTGAGCACAGCCGCAGGCCCCAAACAGCCTGGTTTAAAGGACACGCAGACGTGGTAGGGGTTCTGTCAAGGCAGTTCCGTTTATTATTACACAAGCACTTGCTTTTAAAGGCAAATGGGGGCCGAGCCCGTGGTGCACTCGAGAGAGTGCGGCGCTGGGAGCGCAGCAGTGCTCCCTCCTCGGGTTCAGATCCTATATAGGGATGACCAGTGCGCTCACAGTGCTCACTGGCTGAGCGCGGTGCAGCCGGTCTCAAAAAGGACAAAATAAATAAATAAATAAATAAAGGCAAATGGGAAAGGCAGGTTTTTTACATCCTCCAATCAGCTTAAGGGTTAAGGGCATGCATCCTGTCTCAATGCCTATCTATTGCAATGACGCAGTGTTCATGAGTGCGGCCAATAAGGGCTAAGGCAAGGTTCCTGCAGACACTCCCACCCTACTTCCTCCCGGTGCCGTCTGTCACATTAATCCACTTATAATGTCACTTAACGTGGCATTAGTTTTTAAAGGCCCAATAAAATATAAGGTTGAATTTGAAATAGTTTTTAAAATTGAAAAGGAATTTCTCTGTACCCCAACAATAAAAAATATATATGTATATTTTTGTGTATACATGTATACATATATGTATACATGTATACTGCACATGTATTTCTCATATATGTACACACATGCATGCACACACACACACATCTATGAACTTTGCTCATAGGTGTAAAATATCTTGATGTACACACATAAAATTATAACATTGGTTACCTACTGACAGGAAAACTGGATTTCCACAAGGCAAGAATGGCATGAAGACTTTTCAAATGACTGGTGCATTAATTTTCTTTTAAGCTTTCAAATGATTATGATAACATTCTATACTGTATGAAATTCTGTTGGCTTTTATTTGCACTTAACTTTTCCGTTGTTTTTTTAAAATTCATCTCTTTAAGGAATTGCCTCTTAGCTGTATTTTCAGTTACAATTATGATTCTACCATGTCAGTATCTCACTTGCACAAGGATTTATTTGATTACTGATGGAGTTTGGGTGTGTTGTCCCCACCAAAACTCATGTGGAAATTTGATCCCCAATGTGGCAGTGTTGGAAACTGATTGAGTCATGGGGACGGATCCCTCATGAATGGATTATTGAGTGAGTTCTCGCTCTATTAGTTCCCGCGAGAGCTCATTGCTTAAAAACACCTTGGCCTCTTCTCTCTCTCTTTTGCTTCCTCTCTCTTGCTTCCTCTCGCCATGTGATCTGCTTGTACCCACCGGCTGCCTGCCACTTTCCGCCATGAGTAGAAGCAGTCTGAGGCCCGTGCCAGATGCAGCTGTCCCAGAATCGTAAACCAAACAGACCTCTTTTCCTTATAAATTACCCAGTCTCAGGTATTTCTGTTATAGCAACACAAAACAGACTAAAATAATTAAGGAAACCTTTTTTTTTTTTTTTTTTTCCTATAATACTTTGATGTTCCCACAAAACTGCTACATTGAAGACTTCCCAAATCACTGGTTGGGGGACTTAATGTGGGAATTGAAGTATGCAAGACTTAGGCATGTTTGGGGAATGCCTGTCTAACCTGAAGGTTAGAGTAAAAATAAAATTCAAAGAGAATACTGAGGTCTAATTTATGGAAGAAGCTCATATCTTCATCACTGAATCTAAAGGAAGAAACCAGAGGAGACTAAAGTTGTAGTTATAATGCAGAAAAGTTCAGCAGCTAGGAAAGTAGGTCATTTGTTTCCAGTACTACTTAATGTTTATTCAGTGCTGCTGTGAACTAGGCCATATGTGGTGGGCTGGTTGGCTTATGGGACACACATTTATTTACATTTTTAGAATTATTTGTTTCCAGTATTTCCCCTTAGTGACTTTGAAAATATAATGCATTTGTATTTTCATTTTTTACTAGTATGTTCAATATATTATTTATCTACAATTAAACATTTAAATTCTGAATGTATTTTCACCACGTTTTGAACACATCCAAATGATTTTCTTACAAAGTGTTTTCATTTTTAATACATTATTTTTATGATATGGGATTATTCACATATCACACTTATTATTTGCATTAGATACATTTGTTATTTGAAAATGTACATTAAATTTCTAAATGCCTTTGAATTAATTTTATCTAATTTCTAATTGCACAGTAAATTGGTTAGATAATGCAGCTAGTTTCTACTTCTTAAAAATTTTTGAGTTACTATGTTGTCTCTACTTTTCATAAAATTGTATTACCTTTAAAATGGTGTAAACTGTATCTTTGTGGAATTTATATTAATATCATTTAGTTATTCTGAACTGCATATACTATAGATAAATGATAGTGAGTTACATTCTCTTCCTATAATTGTAAATAAGTGATAATTTCTTTTTATGTTAAAAAATGCATTTTTCTAATATGATGTGCTGTTTTATTACACACACATCAATTTTTAAATATTAATTATAGCTTGAATTGTAAAATATGCTATTGAAGTTAAGTTCTAGATTCCTTCATATTTTGTCACATCAAATTTTCTTTTTCAGAAAAAAAGGGTATACTTTTTATTTATAATTTTTTCTGCATCATTTTTTATTTGATTATTCTTGGATAAATTTCACTCATTAATATATATTATAATAATTATTTGATTAGCAGTATCTTTTATTGTTCTTATACTTTTTCAATACAGTCTTATCACTTTTTTATGTTTGGTATATTTTTGCCTTAAAGTTACTTTTGCCTCATTTTATTCTTTAGTGTACTCTGGAATATAAATATTCTAGTTGTAATGGTTAGTATATATTAGCATATATTCTGCAAGTACTTAAATTTTATATGTATATACTTACGTATATATGCATAATCTATTAAAATAATTTAAAGCCTTTAGACAATATATTTTTATTTTATAACATACATAGAGTGAAATGATCATCTTAAATTTATAATTTAAAGCATTTTGATAAGTATATGCATGAATGTGACCACCATTCCATTCTAGTTATAAAATATTTCATTACCCCAGAAAGTTTCTCACCTACTATAGGCAACCACTATTTTCATTTCTATCACCGTAGTTTAGTTTATGTCTTTTCTTGAATCACATAATAATGGAGTTATACACTATCCACTATGTTTTCTCTGACTTCCTTTGCTCTGTGTCTTATTGAGATTCACCAATATTACTCCATGTATTTTTAGCTCATTTTTTCCCCACTGGTCAGCATTATATTAATGCATGACTACAGAGCATTTTTTAAGGTCTGTTTTTTTTCTGGTGATGAATATTTAGCTTGTTTTCACTTTCCATTGGTAGAAATAAAGCTATCATAAATGTTTTGGGATGTTGTTTTTGTGGATCTACATTTTTCTTTCTCTTGGATAAAAACTTAGGAGTGGAGTTGCTGCATTATGGGGTGTGTGTGTGTGTGTGTGTGTGTCTGTGTGTATTTAATTTTATAACAGTCAAACAAATAATAATATCTTCTTTTGTTTGAGAAGTTTGAAACATTTCACAGATTGCAAAATGAGATAAAAATTTCCCCTCTGTCCCCACATTCCCTCTTTCTGAAGGTTATCCATCCTAACAATTTTATGAGCTACAAATTTTTTACACATTCACAAATATCTATCTCCCAACGTCTGGATATATCTCCTTTTTCAAAAATAAAAAGTGATGACAGCTTACATTCAAATCTCTGCCTTGCTAATTTTCACTTGGTGTATCTTGGACCACTTTCTATATCAGCACATAATAAGTTATCTATTTGCTTTAAATAGCTTCATGCTATTTTGCATACCTTCTTGTGAGAGTTATGCAAGTTGAAGTGCACAGAGAAAAATATCCAAAAATATTCTACTGTGGATATTGGTCCATATTTGTATTGTAGTTTTTTTT